AAAAGGAAACATAAACGAAAAAATTTTTTTTTTTTTTTTTTTTTTTTTTTTTTCTTTATTTTATTTTTTTTTTTTTTTTTAAGACTTTATTTTAAAATACATTTTTACATTTTCTATCCTCCCTTTTTTTTTTATTCTTGCCATAATCTAAAATGAAAAGTGCAAAAAAAAAAAAAAAAACTAATTTAATCAATTTTTTGGTTGGCAGCACCTGAAAAAAACGAGGACCATTCAAGAGCTTCAATAATAAACAATTGCTTCCTTAAAGAAATATTATGTGGAAGTGTGTGATAAATAATAAATTTATGAAACAAAGATATATATGGTCTAAGCTGAGAAATATTTTTAACAGATGTTATAAATTTAAAATGTTTATCAAGCAATGTATTGTAATTTTCAAATTTTTGTTTATCAATTAGTTTTAATTTTATTTCTGGTAAGGATTTATGTTTTATATTATTTAATATCATTTCAATGGCTTCCTGTGTTATTTTTAGATATTGTTCATTTGATATTTTTACATCAGAAGAGTTTTCATTATTTTGTTCTGAAGGGGATTCATCTTTAACTTGTATTTTTTCAGAAGTACTTTTTGTTTTATTTCCTAATTCATTATTATTCTCTAATATACTTTTATCTATATTTATTAAATCAGATAACTCATCTTTTTCTTTTTCGCTTATTCCTAACTTATCCTTAAGTAGCCATTCATAATTATCATTACCATTTACTTTTTCAAAAGCCTTTCTACAATAAATAGCTTTATCCCTTGCTCCATAAAATCCAAATTCATCAATAGAAAATTTTTTATGAACAACAAATGTACTTACCCAACTCTGGGATAATTCGTCATATCCAACTCCTTCGCATCTTGGTAACTTAGCTGCTTTTTTTAAATGGGATGTTCCATTAACTTTTATTTGATTCCATCTATTTCTTGGCTGAATTTCTGGTAGATTGAAAAGTTTTTCTGCTTGTTTTCTACAGTTAACAGCTCTTTCTCTAGCATTTTCAAATCCATATTGACTTATGGGAAAATAATGTTTATGGTATTTTCCATCAATTTTCCAATGAGCTATCCATCTTTGTCTATTCTTATCAAAACAAACACCACCTACTCTTGTTATTTGAGAAACTTTGTTCAAGACTTCCTTTTTTTCATCATCTAAACTTTTGTTACTTTTTTCACTCCTTACTTTGTTTCTTTTTTTCGTTATTTTTTTTTGTACACTCGGTTCTATATGCTTTTGTTGATCAGTGCTGTTCTTTTTTATTTTGAAAAAATTTGGATCATAAGTATCATTTACTTCTTCTTTAACACCTTCATTAGTTTTAAGGGTTTCTCCAGTGGTTCCCTCATAATTATTTGATAAAACATTGTCTATCGTTTTATTTGGAGCACTTAATGAGTTTGATGTATTTTCATCATTATTACTAAAAGTATCCTGATTAAGTGAATTAACATTATTTTTATTACTTTCCACGTAGTTATTAAGATAACTATTAATGCTATTAAAAACATTATCACAATTTCTATTTTCATTATCAATATTATTTCCATTGGTCATATTATCATAAATTGTTCCATTTGGAGAATTAGGTTTATTATTCATAAGATTGGTATTACTTACTGCAAATCCTTCTTCATTGTGACCATACAACTGACTATTTTCTTCATAACATTCATTATGACTATTATTTACACTTATATTGCAACTATTTTCAAAATAATTTGTACTGATCTCACTTTTATTGGTGTTATTATTATACTTGCTAGTGTTATTTAGATCTCCATTAATATTTTTCTTATTTTCATTATCAACATTGCTATCTTTTTCATCATATCTATAATTATCATTACTATTATTTTCATTATTGCTGTTATATTCTTCATTTTCATCCTCATTTTCATTAGATTCTTCATTCTCATTATTTTCATCACTGTCATTGTTATCATCATTATTATTATCGTTATTATTATTATTATTGTTATTATTATTATTGTTATTATTATTATTGTTATTATTATTATTGTTATTATTATTATTGTTGTTATTATTGCCATTATTGCTACTGTTGCTATTGTTGTTATTTCTGTTACTGCTACTGCTGTTGTTACTATCGTTGTTGCCATTATTATTATTATTATTATTATTATTATTATTACTATTATTATTATTATTATTATTACTGTTATTATTTTTAATGTTTTCACCATTATCATTATTATAATTACTTCCATTTCTATTTTGATTTTTATTATTCTTACTTCTTTTATTTTTATCTTGGTTGTTGTCATTATTTAGTAAATTATAATAGTACTCTTCTTTTAAATAATTACAATTTATATTTTTATTATATCTAAAGTCATTAATTTCATTTACATATATCTTATCATTATAATCAATAATATCATCTTCAAAATTCTTATTATTACTCATAAACTTCATAAGATAATTTTTTCCATAATTATAACAACTTTTGTAATTCCTATATATATTAAATAATAATTCTAGATATTCTAAATATCTCTTTTCTTCTGAATAATTATTTCTCAAACTATTTTTTTGTAATCCTTTTATAAAAATAATTAAATGCTCTGAATTTTTGATTAGTTTTTTTATTTCTAAATCATTTCTTTTAAAAATGAATATATAAAGATAAATATAAAAACTCAGGATACTTCTAAATATATACCTCTTCGATTCTACTTTTATCCAATTATGTATATAGTAACAAGAATTTTTTTTTTTTAAAATGTCACTTCGGAAATATGTTTTAAAAATGTTATTCTGTTTTAAACTAGAAAATGTATTTGAAAAAAATTTGTTCAAAATTTTAACAATATTTTTTTTCATTATATACTTGGAAATTTTTAATCTTAAAGATCTATATATGTAATATATAATATATCTAAATAAATTTTTCTCTTTGTTCTTTTTTATTAAATTCAATTTTTTGTGAATAAAGATAAATGATTTCTTTATATTTTTGTTATATAATGAAATAAATGTATTAGAATTGTACGAATTATATAATAAAAATTTCAAAAAAAATTTACTTTCTTTTGTGCATGTGAAAATATTATGGGAATTCATTTTATCACATATTTCATTTTTAATTTTAAGAAATTTATATTTTATGAAATTATTTCTTCTTGAGTTTGTTACTAATATATTCTTATATTTTCTGTTAATATCCTTATTATATAAATCATTATTATTTTTATTTAATATGGTAAAAATTAAACATTCTTTTAACTTATTATTTTTCATATTATATTGCTCTCTTATTTTTCTAAAGTTTAATCTATTTATTTTTTTATATTCAAAATATGATATATTTTCTTTTTTTGTTAATATATCCTCTAAAATGTACTTCCATTCAAAAATATTAAAATTGTGTTTACTACTATCTATTAAATTAATTAATTTGTGGTATTCATTTAAATATATAGTTTTTTTTTGATTAATTATTAATTCTTCATTTTCTATTATATATTTTATTAATATTTCCTCTATATTGTTTTTATTCAAAAATCCTTTCAATATTTCAACTTCTAATTTTTTATTATTATTCTTATGTCTACAATATTTATATTCTTTTAAAAAAATACAAGTATTGTTTTTACTGAAACACTTAATATAAAAATAATATTTTTTTTTTTTAATGTATTTTTTTGAATTCTTAATTCTTTTGCGTTCTATAAAAAACTTAGAATAATATTTTTTTTTCTTCAAAGGTTTTGGTGAAGAATAAAATAAATTTTCTTTATTATTACTTATATGCATTTTACTTGGAATATTGTTATTTATTTCATTATTTGTATTACTCATTTTGAAATTTAAAAAATTTACGGTATCACTTTTTCTTTCTTCAATTATTTTTTTTATAAAATCTTCATATTTTATAAAACTACGTATCATTTCTTTAGACTTTTCTAATCCATATTTTTGAATTGGAAATACACTCATAATCATTTTTTTACTAACTTTATCAAACATAGAAAAAAGATATAAATTAAAAATATCTATATAATAGCACCCTGAATAGTAATGATCGTTATTATTTTCTGATGAACATAAAAAATCATTATCACTTCGAATTGAATTATAATTTTTATGATATACTTCATTAATATTTTCATTACTTTTATTTATATTATTAATAAAATTAAAAAAGTTGTTAATATTTTTTTCTTCTTTAAACTTTTTAAGAATATTATTATTTTCTTTTTTAAATTCCAAATAATCCTTATGAAAAATTTTTGGTGGATCAATACCACTTTGTAAATGTTCAATTTTTTCAGATGCATTATATTCAAAATCTGCTTCTACTAAAATTATAAATGACAATATGTGATATCCTAAATATAATTTTCCATCTATAACTAATGAATATAGCCAGTCATTAGCCACATTTTTAAAGTTTATACTTGAATAGAATTTTAAGAAATAGAATAAATCTGAATGTATAGAAAATGTTTTATATTCCTTACTAATCAGGTCTAATAATCTCACACCTTCAGAATTGTAACATAATTCCTCTTCTGTTTCCCGTCTACATAAGTCTGAAGTAGAATTTTTAAATATGTTAAAATTATATTGTTTTACTAAAATCATGTTTTTTTTTTTTTTTTTTTTTTTTTTTTTTTTTTTTTTTTTTTTTTTTTTTTTTTTTTATTTTATTTATTTATTTTTATTTTATTTATTTTTCTTTTGTTGCTTTATTATTTTAAATTTATTTGTATATTTAATATAATATGCTAATTAGAATATAATTATATTTTTCAAAAAAAAAAAAAATAGAAACAATTTTAAAATTTTAGAAATAGTTTATATTTATATTAGATTAAGGTGAATTATATTAATTTTTTTAACAATTTTCAAATTAATAAATCATATATGTATTATAAAAATCAGTTTTTCGTTATAGTACACTTTTATTTTCTATTTTTTTATTAATACATTAAGAATTATTTTTTTTTATATATAAGAAATGTATATAAAAACATGCAACTTAATTTTCTTTTTTGTCCACTATTGATTTAAAATATTCACGAAAGATTAAAAATAAACTTAAAATATTAAAAAATAAAATTTGTATTATTCACTCTAAAGTAAAAATTCATAAAATACTAATAATAAAAAGGATAATATATATATATATATATATATAGTAGGTGTATATATTTGATGTAATAAGTGACAATAAAATTTAAAAAACAAAAAAAAATTAATAAAAAAACAAATCTATTTAATAAATAAAAAAAATAAAACAAAATTTTGTAAATTTATTTATAATTAACAAAAGTACTGTAATTATTTTTATAAAAATATATGTAGGTTTATTTTTTTGTGAATTTCATAGAGTACTTATAGACAATTAAAAATCATAAATTAATCAATATATGAATTAAAAATATTAGTAAAAATCCTTTATATATATAAAAAAAAATATATATTATTGAAATTTAAAAATAAACTATAATAGATTTACGTAAATGAAAAAAAAAATTTATATGTAATAACCTACGAAAAGCATATAAGGTATATAGGATTGTAATATAAATACACAAACATTTACATTTATACACTTTATTTTTTAAAATACGCTTTTAAGTTAAAGAATTAAAATGAAAAAATTTAATAATTTTTTTAAAAAGAATTAAAAAATAGTAAATTAAAATAAAACTTTAATAAATAAAAAGACATTTTTCTTACATTATCAACTAATTTAAATGAATACAAAATAATAAAATAAAGATAATAAAAATTTTTAAAAATTCAAAATACTCTAAAATTATACATTTTATTTTTATTACATGTAAATTTTACAAAAATTTGAAAGAATTTCTTATGTTTAAATAAAAACTATTGAAATAAATGCATATATATATATATATATATATATATATGAATATATTTTTTTAAATAGATTAATGCCATGAATTTTTATTTTTTGTGTTTATCAATATGAATAAGTAAATTCGAGAAAATTATCTCAAAAAGAAAAATAGGAGTTAAAATTAAAAAGAATAACAAAATTTATAATTAACAGAACAATTCAGTGCATAGCGTATTATATTTAAAATAAAAAAAAAAAAAATTATATAAGCATGTATTTATACTTGAACAAATTATAAGGAACAAAAATACATTAAAATGTTAAAAGCAAATAAAAATATCCAATGAACATGTAATTTCAACATCAATATGAACGAAAGAAAATTTTTTTTTTTGATTAAAAAAAAAAAAAAAAAATTTATTATCATATACAAAAAAATATTTTTTTTGAAATTATTTTTTTAATTAATTTTTTCTCTACATGTGGTATCCACATTTTTTTTTTTCTTATGCATAAACTTTTTTTGGATTCTATTTCTTCTCGAAAAATAAAAATAGCAAGATTTTTTTCACCACTGCATGTTTTTCAATAAAACACAATCTCATATATATAAACATAATCTCATTACTGTAAAAATATATACTTATATATATGTATATATATATATATATACATATATATACATATATATATATATATATAATATATATATATAACAAAATATTAAATAAACTAACTTTTTTGCTTTTTTCTATACTTTAAAATTTACGGAAAATTGTAAAAGCTCTTTTAAGTTAGTTATTTTATTATTTTTTTTTTTTTTTTTTTTTTTTTTTTTTTATATCAGCATGAACTTTTTAATTTTTTTTGAAATATTTTACATTTAAAAAAATAAAATAATGCAATAATAAACATGTAATATGTAAATACACGATTGTTTCTTTTTTTTCAATAAAAAAAAATTATACTTTTTTCACAAATTAATAAGGAAAAAAAAAAATGTTTAAAAAATAAAATATATCAAAAGCAAAAATATAATTGCCCTTTGTTTGTTCTTGGCTTGATATTAACTTTCGATAAAAGAACAAAAAAAAAGTTTTAGGATTTTTGTTGTAACATTTTACAAGATCAATTAAAAAAAAAAAAGTGCAAAAAAAAGGAACTAACAAGAAAATTTATTGACATGCAAAACTCTATAAAAAAAAAAAAAAATTATTTTATTTAGTAATAATTAACTGTAAGTTAACAAAATTTTATTATGCAGTTATTATTTTTTTTATAATTTTTTTTAATTATATTTATACATAGAAATGGAAATTTTTTCCCAAACCATTTTTAGAGGAAAGATAAAAAAAAACCTTAAACCATACGTTGAAAGAAGAAGAATTTTAAATGAATTTTATAAAAATTTATTATATCTTTTTTATTTCAAAATCCGATATGTTAATGTGTTTATAAAATAGGTACAAAATTGAAAGCAAAGTTCATAATAAAAATGAGCTACAACGGATTTAAAAAGCCATTATGTGTAATATTTTTTTTTTTTTTTATGACCTTTTTATATAACTTAAGTTTGAAGTAAAAAATTGTAAAAAAATAAAAAAAAAAAAATTTAATTCTTATGTGACTTTTTCATAAGAATTCTACATTTTATTTTATTATATTTAATTTCGTTTTAATATATTTTTTATTTATGTTACTCTACTACATTGAGTTTCATTACATTTTATTTAATATACTTTTTTGTTTCTTGTTATTGTTTGCATACACGCTAAAAATATACCAAGAGTTGCATATTTTTTAAAAATTAAAAGTATTTGTGGCCTAATAGTTAAATGATAAACTATTTAATATAAGATAGTTTTCTGATTAACAAAAACGTTTTTATAAATTAATGCACATTCATATTTTAAAGTTTTAAGGTTTGGATTTACATAGAAATTTTTACGTTTTTTTTCATAGTTACTTCTGATAAAATAAGGATAAAGCTCTGATATTTTTATACTTAGTTATTTTTTATTATAAAACTCGAAATTTCTTTAAAGATATAAAATATTTATCAAAAATATACGAATTCTATGATAACTTAAAATTTAAAATTTTTTCTATTTTATATGCATAAGAATAAGAACGGAGAACTAATAAATAAAAAAATAATATTTAAAAAAAATGAATAATATTAAAATTCTTTTACATTATTATATCTAAACATACTATTTTTATTTTAAAAAATTACGTAATTTAATTTTATTGTATTTACACATAAATCAAATTCACCCTAGAAAATTTAATAGACATATTTCAAATTTTTTTTTAAATAAAATTAATAACTATAAAGAAAAAGTTTGGTTCATATATATCATTTTATTAAAAGCATATTTTATAATAAGCTTATAACTACTCCTTCACAATTTTTTTTTTCTCTTTTGCAAACGCCTTTTTAAATCATTTTAAATAATAACATTAGAAAAAACAAATAATAACTAAAATAACTCATGATACTAATAAAATGAAAAACGCTTTCTTTGCTCCAAATACATATTATTTTCTTATTTTTTTTTTTTTAGTTTCTTTCTAATAATATTTTAAGATTTATTCTGGCTAAAAAAAAAAATATATCTATAGTGCACTAAAAATTTTTCAAATAATAAATTTTATATAAATATTTTATATACTTTAATGTTTAATTTGAAAAAACAATTATTTTTTAAAATTATATAATACTTGATATGATATATAATATGTATTAGCCCTACAAAAAATTTATATGTTGCCACTTTTTTATCCTTTTTTGTATAATTATTAAAATTCTATTATAAATATAGATTTTGTAAAAAATATTATTTATATTATCATCTAAAATTTAATTTAATAAAAATATTGTGAACATATAATTCATTCTTAATTTTTTATTTATTCTTTTTTTGCTTTATTTTTTTTTTTTTTTTTCTTTTTTTTATTTTTTTTTTTTTTTTGCATGTGTAGTAAAATACTGAACAGTAAGAAAGGAGAACTAAAAAGGTTACTATTTACAAATTTTTATTCATTTATATTATTTATTTAATTTTTTTTTTTTTTTTTTTCCTGTTGCTTAATAGAATTATTAAATTATTAGATATATGGATATATTCACTTAATATATTTATTACTAGTGAAAATATTTTTAAGTAGTGTAAAAATACTGTAAACTGTATTTAATCTAAGCAATAAAAACGTACTGAACAAATTATTAAATTTTATTCATTTATTTATCTAATTATTTTGAATATTTTTTAATTTATACTTGTTTTGCTTTTTTCATTTTTTTATCACTTTCACATTAAGATTATTTTTTTTTTTTAATATATGAAATCCTGTATCTCATTGGAAGATCAATTGTATATATTTTAATTAGTCTCCATATATACACGTCTTAATCTTTTATAATTTATATTATAATTTTTGACTGTTATCCACTAGAATGATTTTTATAAAATTTTATAAATAAAATCACTGTTAAAAATTAAAGTGTAAAATTTTTTTTTTTATCATTCTTTATGAAATACTTCTCTTTTTACTTTCATTATTATAATTTACTATAAATGTTCTAAAAAATATTTAAAATTATATAAATAAAATAACTTAACAACTATTTTAAATTTATATTATTCATTTATTTCAAATGAAAATAATGTTGTGTCTACAATTCTTATAGCTTATTCAAAAAAATTATTTTGTAAAATACTAATTTTTCTCCTTTTTTTTTTTCGTTTGAAAGCATAAAAAATATATAAATTCATCATAATATTTAACAATTAAAAAAAAAATATTTATTTTTAATAAAAATATGCCTTAAATATACATTTTTTCACAAAGCTTAAAATATTTAAAATTTAAAAAATGGAATTACATATAAAAAAAAATTTTAAAAAAACAGTGACAATTTTTTTTTTTTCTTAATTTATTTTTTATTTATTCTTATGGGTAATATATGAATTATAAAATTTAATATATGAAGAAAAATTTAGCTCATAAAATTAAAATAAATTTATTTTTTAAAACTCATTATTTACCATTTATATTTTTTTTTTTATAATTTGTTAAAAAAAATTGAAAATGGGAAAATATATATATTTTTTTTCTTTTGAATTGTAAAATGTATTTATTCTATCAATGTTAATTGATACATTCAACTTTTCTTTTGTAGTTGAGAAAATATTTATATTATATATTAAATTAAATATATAATTAGCTTTAATTTATTATAAAAACATATTTTTTAAATTATCTTAAATTAGTTATATTTTTTAATAATATTTAACCTCAAAAAAAAAAAAAAAAAAAAAAAAAAAACTAGGTGTTATTTATTTACTATTTTTATATAGTATTTAACTTTTTCTAATATATAACTTTCTTTGATATGTCTCCTGTCCAAGTAAAAAAGAAAAATACGCCAATTCCACAATATTTTGTAGAATGCAAAAAAGTAAAAATATATATTTAAAATATGATGAATTTTAAAATGTATAAAAAAATTGTAGTTAATTGTCATTGAGAAAATATATATATATGAATATACCTGTGTGCATATTAATTTATAAAGTATTTAAATTTTCGTAATACAATCTGTTTGTAGAGTGAGATTAACAAATTAAAAGAAGTTTTAAAAAAATTACCTCAAGAAAGAGACGATGATAAAAAAAGAGAAGTCTTAAAGAAGGTTATAGCATATATGACTTTAGGCATTGACGTTTCTAAATTATTTCCAGATATTATAATGATGTCAAGTACAAATGATATAATCCAAAAAAAAATGATTTATTTATATTTAAATAACTATGCAGGTTAATTATTTCATCTTATATTGATTAATGGAATATTTTTTAACGGCTTTGTTTATTTTTTTTTTTTTTTTAACATATAATAAAATTCTATTTTTATTAATTTCTAATTATATAAAAATATTTTATATTATTTATTACATTAATTATATTTCTAATTATAATAATAATATCACTTTATAAAACATCTGTTCAATCTTTTTTTTTTTTTTTTTTTTTTTCAATTTGTTATTAATACCACAGAAACTAATTCTGAATTATCTTTACTTACTATAAATACTTTACAAAAAGATAGTAAGGATGAAGACCCAATAATAAGAGGATTAGCTTTACGTAGTTTTTGTAACTTAAGAATAAATAATTTATTTGAATATATTGAAGGTCCTTTATTTAATGGATTAAAAGACAAAAATCCATATGTTAGACGAATTGCTATTATTAGTTGCGTAAAGTTAATAAAAATGAATCCCCAAATTTCTATAAAAAATGATGTTATAAAAATATTAAAAAATATGTTATTAAATAATGATCCCCAATGTATAATAAATGCTGTACATGCTTTAAATGAAATATTGATTGATGAAGGTGGATTAAAAGTAAATAAAGAAATTATTTTTAATATGCTAAATAAGTTATCAAGTTTTAATGAATGGGGTAAATGTGTGGTTTTAAACATTGTAAGCACATATTTGCCAGATAATGAAGATGAAATGTATGATATTATGAATATATTAGAAAATCACATAAGAGATTTTTCTTCAGCCGTATTTTTATCATGCTTAAAATGTTTTCTAAATTTCTCTATGAATGATCAGGATCTACAAATACAAATATTTGAAAGGATGAAAGATCCTTTACTAACCTTAATATCAACTTCTTCTTGTGAAATTTCTTATGTTGTTTTGTTGCATACTAATTTATTATTACATGAAGCAAACAAATTAAATTATAAAATATTTGAATATGATTTTAAGCATTTTTTTTTTCGATTTAATGATCTGACATATATAAAAGATATTAAATTAGATATTCTTGTATCTGTAGCATCAAAGGTAAATTCATTATGATTTTTTCTTCTTTTAAATTTTTGTATTAATTTATTATTTTTTATTAGATTACTTCTAACTTGTTATTTGAATTTCTCTAATATTTTTATTAATTTTCTTTTTATGTTATTTTTCATTGTATGAATTTTATAAATACCTTACTATTTTATTTTTATTTTATCCATCTATATATACTTAAATATATATAATTTTTTTTTTTTTCAAGAATAATGTAGTTTTAATAATTAATGAATTAAGTGAATATATTTCAGATAGCAATACTGAAATCGCTCAGAAATCTATATATTCTATTGGATGTATAGCTTTAAAAATACCAAAAGCTATTTCAAAAATTGTCGAACTGGCGTTATCATCCTTCTTACCAATGAATTATTCATATATAAGTAGTGCTACACTAACAATTTTAGCTAATATATTAAGGAAATATGAAGAGTACACAAAAATAATTATTGATGAAATTGTAAAATGTGATACTAGATTAATCGATAATGTAGGAATAACTTCTTATATTTGGATAGTTGGAGAATATTGTGATTACATAGAAAATGCCCCATATATTTTAGAAGAATATGTTAATTTGACGAATTGTTCTTATTTATTTATGTTGGAGTTATTAACAGCTTGTATAAAAGTTTTATATAAGAGACCTGCTGAAATGAAAACTATTGTAGCATCCTTATTCGACAATATATTAAAAAATTATAAATATCCTGAACTAACAGACAAAATGTATTTTTACTATAAAATGTTAAGTTATAATTATGAAGAAGCTTTTAATATAATTTCTTGTAAAAAGAAACTAGTAAAAAATTTTTGTGAATCAAATGAAAATACATTATTAGATAATCTATATAATGAATTTAACACTTTATCAGTATTATACAAGCATCCTATAAATAAATTTGTTGAGTATTCTAAAATATCCTTCGGAGGGATATACGATCCTGAAGGAAATAATGATACAGATAATTTAAATGTAAATTATAATTTAGATGATAAAAATTTAGATAAAAATTACAAGTCAGAAAAAAATTGTAATCTTAACGATAATTTAGACAATGATAGTAAAAAAGAAAATAATAATTTACTTAATATAAATGAAGATATATTACTAATTGATGATAAAAATAATTATGAAATTAATAAAAAAAATATCAACAATAAAAATATTGTGCAAGAAAATCTTAATACTTGTTCCAGTAGTAACGGTGATTATATGATTTTAGATAAAAATTCAGATGTACCAAATAATAATTTTCAGGTTATCACAGAAAAAAAAGATGAATATGGAGTGTCAAACTTATATAATTTTAAAAAGTTAAAAGAAATTATAATTGATGCTGATAATATAAATCCAGAGGAGTATCAAGAACAATGGAATCTTTTATCAGAAAAAAATAATGAAAAAATATATTTGAGAAAAAATTATCATAATTTGAAATTAGAAACTATTGATGAGCTAATAACAAAATATAATATAATAACATTAGCTTCAGGAGAAATAGATCAATGTTTAAAATTTTACTTGTATTCTCAATTTTATACAATGCATTATATATTTATTGAACTTATTTTTGATAAAACAGAAAACTCCATTAATTGGATACTTAAATCTAATTGTGAAAATATCAATCTTATTGAGCAATTCACTGATTGTTTCAGAGATATTTTTATTGATTATATGTAGTTTTTTTTTCCTTTTTTATAAAACAAAAAATTATAAACATAATAGTAGTTATATTTTTTATTATTTTAAACATTTATATATATCATATTTTTATAAGAAAAAATACAAATTTTAATTTGTTATACGTTATTTTTGTATAATTTTTTTTTTTTTTTAAATTAATGCGTTCACACAAAATTTTCATATACATTTTTTATCCTCTAAATTAAATACATAAAATGTGATGTGAATTACTATTTAAAAAAAAAAAAAAAAAAAAAATTGATATTTTATGTTTTTTTTTATATCAAATTATAATTTTTTAGTATAAAATGAGAAAAAAAAATAACAAATATCTAAAAGCCGTATTTTTTTTTTTTTTAATTTATTAAAATATAAAATTATTTAAATTTTTGTAAAATTGTATATAACTATTTTTTAATTTAAATATTATTTACTAAAGAAAATTTTCATTCTTTTAATTTTATAAAATAAATATATATTTCTGTTTTAACTAATTTAATAATTATTATAACTTTAGTGAAAAATTTAATTTTATTTTTTTAAAGTTTATAATATTTTTTATTCTCTTAATCCTTTTATTTTTTTTTCATATCTTTTGCAATTTTTAATCAAATTATGAACTAGTAGTTCATTCTGCTTTCCATACAATTCTCTTATAAGCATAGTTGCATAAGATGAAGAATTTAAGTTAAAATTTAATATGAGAGCATTAAATTTATATTTATTTTTTTTTTGTTTACTATTATTACTACTGTCTTTTTGAAAATTTATGTTTTTTATTTCTTCATCCTTATTTATTAAAGAAATATTTTTATTTCTTTTCATTCGAATAATGTTTTGTGTATTTTTATTGTCATTTTTATTCTTCATATATTTTGTATTGTTTCCAAACTCTATATTTTCAGAACAGTCAATATTTTCATTACAATTATTATTATTACATTGATTGTTTACATTATAACTTTTACATTCTTCTTTCTTTAAAATTTTATTTATTAAAATGGTTGAATACAAATCTGAAATAAATTTAGCTTTAGGTTCATTATATTCATAAAAACAATAATAAAAATTCTTAGGAATTACAACTATATTCCTAAAAACACATGTCATTCCATATTCATATTCAAAAGAATTTATATATTTATCAAACTGTTTTATTATATATAAAATTTTTTTAATTGGAAAAACATCATTTAAGATGTCTTCACATTTAAATTTAATAGATTTTTTTATATTTGTTTGTTTTAAATCATTAACAAAACTATCAAATATATTGCAATTTAATCTAAACAAATTGTCTTCATATAAAATATAAATTAAATATAATAATATTTCTAAAAAAACTAAGCGAATTTTTTGACCCCGAAATTTCCTATAAAGATTTTTAAAAACATTTAAATATGATAATCTGTATGGCATACTTCCTAAAACAGGTAAAACAACATTATATATATTTAAATTATTTATTTTATTATCATATATAGTTATATAATTATGTTGATTTTTTTTTTCATTTGTTTCTGATTGAATTTCTTTTGTAAATACAAAATCACTTTCTTCTAATTTTATTCCAAAATTTTCTAATCTATAAGAAGTTAAAAAATTAAATATTTTTGCACTGTAAGAGTGCATATGAAATCGTCTAACTTCCATACTTATCCCTTTAACGCAGATTTTTTCATTTTTATAAAAATATTTTTGCTTTTCATATTTTCCATCATTTAATTTATTCACTAAGTGTTCATCCTTTTTAATATTTATGTTTCTCATCGATTGTCCATTTTTTTTATTATTTATATTATTTTTATTTTCCTGATTTTGATTTTTTTCATATATATATAAATTTCGAAGCAGGACAAAAGCTTCATATTCAGAATTATTCATATATGAATAAAAATATTTATGTGAAAATAATTGTTTGTTTAATTCATTATTTTGCAATATATAGTTTTTTTTAAGTAATTTATTCATTTTAAGGGTAAAATATCTAAAAGCAAATGTAGCATTTTTTTTTTTGAATATATTACATGCATTTTTCATATAAATAGTTATACTATCTTTAATGATATTTCCATTCAAAAATTTTTTTTCAAATATATTTGGGTCTAAAACAAAATTTATATATTCTTTATAGTTTCTAGATATCAGAGCTTTTCCTTTGTTAAATGTATTTTTATATACACCAAATCGTTGCATACCAAAATAATTAATAAATCCATATTTTTTAATATAATCCAATCTATTTCTTAAATAATCTTCATTATTTTGAACATTTCTTAAAACAACTATAAAACTATTTCCTCGATGTTCACCTAACTCTATATTTTTATCTAATTTTTCAATATTACAAATTAATAATTTTTTCGCTTTTTTGTTTAAATATAAATTTTTTATATTATTAATTTCTCTTATATAACTAAAATTTGTTGATATTATTTGAGTAGAAACACTTCTTTTATCTTTAAAACCTGAATAATGAAAATTTTTAATTGGAATTTCAGAAGCTTTGCTAATTTCTCTAATTGCTTCTTGTGTATCTTTATTAACTTTGTATAAAATAAATTTAACATAATACTCTGATTTTACTTTACTATTTTCATCATTATTTGTTAACACAAAATTTTTTGAAGAATTTTCTTTTTTTTTAGGTAAAACATCCAAAAATTTATCTTCATTTTTTACATATTTAAAATCATATTCATTAACTTCCTTTTCATTTTTTGTTGTATCATAATCTATTTTTTTATAATTATTACAGAATTGATTTTCATAGCTTAATTTAAAAGTTTTAGCATCTACGTTTTTATTGTCATCTAATATTTTTTTTTTAGCAAATTTTACATTTAATATATTGTTGTTTTTGTCGATTTCATATACATGAAAATCTTCACATTTATATTTGAATACACAATCAAGGCTATTTTTATTTTTTAAATCCCATTTTTTACTTTTATTTATTTCTAGAAAATCGCTCATGAAATGATTAATTCCTACATCTTCTTCCAATAAATATGTTGATGAAAAATAATACAAATTATTTATAAATTTATATTTTTTTAATGAAAAAATAATATTTGCTGAATTTAACAAAAATAAATTATTAAGATTTTTCTTAAAAAGCATTATGTGTGTTTAATTTAATGTTGCATAATTTTTTTTTATAATTCTCTATTTAAAAAAAAAAATAAAAATAAAATAACGAATATTCAATCAATATAGAAAATTAAAAAAAAAAAAAAAAAAATAAATAAAATAAAATAAAATAAAACTATAAAAGGATTAAAAAAAAGAATAGATCAGAAAAAATCAGAAAATTAAACATCAAACTAAGGTTACGTTTGGAATATAAAAAAAAATATTCAAAAAAAAATATAAAAAGTCCTTTGATAAAAAAATTTTATATTTTCAGAATTAAAACAATTTTTAACAATGAATAAACTTCAATTTTTTTAATCTCAATAATAATGTTTGTAAATAAATTATAAAAATTGTATTTTAATTATTAAAATTTTTCTTTGTTTTTAGGAAAAACATTATATTTATTTTTTTAATATTTCATTAATAAAATTGTTTCAATTTTTACTCATGAATATAAAAAAAAGACTAATAAAAGAAGTAGAAAATTTTAGAAGAACGGTATTACTTAGAGGTAGCCCAGCTTTTAAGATTGGTGTTTGGTTTTCTGGTAAATTTATTATAAATGAATTTCTTTGTAATATTTATTTTTTGACATTCAACTAAATCAATATATATATCTTTGTATTTAAATAGATTTATTATTATTATTTTATTTTTATATTTTTTTTTTTTTTTAAAGGATTAACTATTGGATTAACTTGGATTTTATTTAGCGAATACAATCAACCAAAAACTAATAATTTATTTTTTAAAAAAAAAGAAGCAGACATCTTTACTAATGATGAAATCGAGAAATGGAATAAACCTTATTTTTCCAACGATAACCAAAATCTATTAATAAAAGATTCTAAATTAACAGTTGATGAAAAAAGAAAAATAATACTAAAGGATATATATAAAACAAAATAAAAGAATACAGATTCTTTCCATTAACCTTTATATAACAGCTTATATTTGTAGGATCACACTAAAAAAATTGTATGAAAGATAAATAAAATACATATCAATATAGTAAAAGTTGTCAAACCTTTTCATGAATGTATTAAAAATATACTAAATAAAAATAAGTAAATTTGTTCTTGTTAAATGTAATGAAAAATGCTGAAAAAAATTGTAATTATATAATAGAATTTTAATAACTAAAAGAAATGAGAATACACTAATGTTAAAAAAAAATACAAAATAAATAGTATTATATATTAGAATAATGTGTAAAAAGTTTTGTATATTTTTTCTGAAAAAAATAAAATGAATAAAAAATGTGTATGAATTAAATTATATTTTAAGGAATGGTCAGATGATCAATACGGATCATATATACTTTAAAGAGTTTATGATAAAATATATAAACAAAGAAAAAAAAAAATAAATATTATGAAGTTATTGAAAAAGTGTATTCAAAATATTTTTAATTTTATTTCATGTATATTTAGTAAGTTTTAGATAAAAATACGGCAACCCCTCTTTGATGCCAATTTTGCATAGAAAACCCTTTTGAGACAGGAAATTTCCAAAAACCAATAAATGAATTTCTTGATTTATCTAAATAAATTGGTAAATTCATAAAACTTAGATTTGAACTTTCCTTTACATTTTTAATTAAAGTTTCTTTCTTTTCCCAAGTTAAAGTAACAGGAGGTAAATCAATAATTAGTTCATCACTTAAAACTAAACACTATATAAAAATAAAATAATATATATACATATGTATTTAATATTATATTTTCAAGAAAAGAAAATTTTTTTTTTTTTTATAATAATGTAAAACTTTTATTATACATAAATTTTAATAAATTGTGTTTTTTTATTTAAACATAACAAAATATATATTTCTTACGTTATCTTTGTCACTCCATTCAGCACCCTCTATTGACAAACATGTTATAGTAAAGTGAATCATATTATCGAATTCTATATTAGTTTTATTTCCAACTATTACTGATAAATCTAAATCATCTAAAGAATTTTTAAATTTAAAAGCAGCTAATTGTCTAGTTGCTGTAATAAATGCTCTTGGGTAAAATAATCCCCCTAGCCATATAAAATTAATTGATAATTCTTTGTCAAGTTTAAAATGAGATGATATAGTATCATTATTTTTTTTGAGAAAGGATTCTAAATTCTCATCGTTATTTTTGTTCATTTTCATATCTTTTTCTTGAAAAGTATTTTTATCTAAGGTATTAGTACTTTTTTTTTCATTAAGTTCTGTAGTTATAGCTATTATTTGATAAAAACGGTTAATTAGCTCTTTTATCCAATTTGTTAAACTTAAATTGGTTGTAATTCCGTTAAACAACCAACTTGATGGTACATTAAATGAATTTAAATCTTTAACTAATGCTCTTAATTTATTCGTATATTTTAATTTTTCTTGTAAAACACTTTTTAATTGATTTAAATTTAATTTTATTACTTTCAATAACTTATTAAATAAATTATTCTCTCTCTCAAAACATCTGAAAACAGCATTACTCATATTTTCTTCATTTTTTTGTAAATCAGGTATACATTTTGGCAAACAGTCTAGAATTTGATTAATTAACAAAATATTTTCATTCTGTGAATGAGTCTGTATAGATTTACTTATAATAGAAGATTCTGAATATTCACTATCAGTCTCTTCAGTTTCATTAGGAGAGAACGTATCATCCTCCTTTTCCTTTTTTTTTTTTTTTTTTGTTTGTATGTATAATTCCATACTTATATTATTATCTTCATTTATTGATTTTGTTAAAGGAGTATGTGGCAAAGGTTCATAAATATCAGAGCAACTTTTACTATATAATATATTCCATTTTCTTATTATACTCAAATTAGATCTGGTTGTTAACAATCCTTCCGCCTGTTGCCCTAAACCTAACCATGCAGGTGAATCAGTATTACTCATATTGTTTGTCCACTTTATATAATCATTTATATTCCTGAATAAATCTGGAGATGTTAAAAAATCTTTTTCGGAAGAACCATTACAAATATTTAATTTAAAATCAGCTTCGAATGAATTAGAATTCATTAAATGATCAATAAAGGTATCTAATATTCTTGCATCAACAATATTATCTAGCCTACCACCATATATGGCTTCATTTAATAATTTTTTTATAGCATCCCAAGGGATATTAGAAGGATCTATATGCTCACTGAAATTATTTCCTATTTTAGTTGTCGATTTATCTAACCAACTATCGACAACATTTAATGCACACATCAGATCTGAATCGCTAAATTCATATTTCTTTGTCCAACCAATAGGAGTATATCTTCTTCTTTCTAAAATTATTGCATGTAAAAATGAAACAATAAAGTATACTCGTAGTCTTGCTATTTTTGGATGATTTAAATCACGATTTTCCAAAAATAAAGAAAAAGTTCTTAGTATTGATGACTTAATACCTACTGGTGGTTCAAACATAAAAGTTAATGATATACGCATTAAATTTTGAGGAACTTTAGGATTTATTTCCATAGTTAAAAATAAACGAAAATTAGAGTTTGCACTGGCTTTATGAATATTTTTTTCTAATTGTTGTAACCATTTAGGAGACAAATGTGCATTTTTTAATAAAACCCATCCACCATTTTTTTGGGCTGATGATATAATTTTTTCAGCTGAAATGTATCCCTCTTCAGATCCCATAGCAATTGAAGACAATAACACGTTACATTTTTCACTTAACTGTTGAACTTTATTACTGGGATCAAATCCAGGTGAACTTATTAGAACAATTGGTATGTTTCCATTTGTATTCTCCTTTACATATTTTTCTAAATCATTTGTAGATAATTCAGGTAACCACAAAAAGTCTTTCCCTAAAATGATATTTATAATTTTGTTAAAACATTTATCCAGTTTATCTGGTCTAACTGCCTTTATAATTAAAGATTCTTTCAAACATTCAGAAATATTATTTTCGTATCTTGTATTTTTATTATCAAATAGACTACTTCCATTACTCTTGAAATTAGTTGCAAAATTTGTATCATGAACTTTACTTAATAATTCCACTCCTGAATCATTATTATTATCTGAATTTAAATTTTTATAATTAATTATGGAAGAAATTAAATGCTCTGGTTCAGTTGAATGTAGTAAATTTATCCATTCATTCTTATTGTTTTCAATACACTTTTTTAGATTATAAAATGACTTGTGTTTTATTAAATTATTTAAAGTATTAATTTGCTCATCACTATATTCTGGTAACATACTCCTTTCAATTTTTTTGTCATTTACATCATCTATTTGGTTATTAGAAGAATGGTCTTTTAATAAAAAGTGAATATGACTTTGATCTATGTTTATATTAGGATCTATAATACTTTTAATATAACATAATTGAAGACCTAAAACATATCTATCTTCTTGCAGCAAACCTCTAGCAACACGATCATATGTCAAAGAAAATATTAAATGCTCTAAAATATTTAACCTTTCTTTATAATCATTTTTTTTTACCTTTGATAATAAATCTTTATCATTTAACGCATCCTTCATTATATTAAAAAAAAAATTTAAGTCATATTGATATAGAAAATTAATATTACATAAATGTTGCAAAACAAAATAAATCCTAGCAGATCCTTGAGCTAAAGATAGATACTGATTACTAACATTTTCAATTTCCGCCATAACTTCTTCTGCTATACTTACTTCCTTAGATGCTTCAGCAGCTTGTACTTTTAATTTTTCCATAGTGCTTATAACATTATCATCATCTAAAATATTTCCTTTAACGTTAGATAATTCTAATAACAATGATTCTTCTAGTTCTCTTATTTTTACTTTATATTCACCTTGTAATTTTAATAAATCGCATCTTTTTTTGTCTATATCTGGACGTTCATTTTTTAGTATCATATTTAGACATTGATTTTGAAGGGAAGAAGGAGTTAAAGTGAAATTTACAAATGTCACTCGGCTACATAAATCAGGTGTAAATTGAAAATGAGCATCTCTTGATGTTAAAAACAAATTAAATGAAGGAGAAAAATCTATTTCCGAATCTCCTATAGTAATTAATAACCTACCACCTTGCTTGTGCGTTTCTTGGTTTAAAACTGAATTTAAAATAGCATCAATTTTTTCCACGTCAGTAACTAATAATGTAGAACCAAATCTTAAAGCACTTTCTAAATTTTTTATAAAGTTCTTATCAGAAAAAGATGTCTTTAATATTTTTTTGTCTGCATATTGATTAAGTAAAAAATTGGTAGCTTGATCTGATGGATCAATAATCATTGGATATCTTATATAGCGATTTATAATTATAGCATTTTCCATAGATAATTCATCACTTGGTAATCTATGTGCTATCCATTGCAATCTTTCTGATGGCCTTGATAAAAATTCAATAAATGATAAGTCATATCTATGTTTTATATGATGGAATTTTATAATTTCTCCCCATGTTTTTTTTAATTTTTGTCTTTCATAATGCTCAAAAAAACCTATATAAGCACAAAATGCTGCTGCTATTAGACAATCCCCAATAAATGTTTCTGAAGCAGCCTCTAAATTAATGAATGTTTCTGACCATCTTTCTTTTTCTGATTTTAGATTTTCAATTAAGTTAATAGATCTTTTTATTTTATTTTCTACTTTTTCCATTTCTTGTTTTATATTTTGTACTTGACTAATTAATTGAGCATAATCATTTTTATATTGTAATAATTTCTTTTCTAACTCTGCAATAATCTCCTTTTGCTCTATATATTGATCTTCTGCAATTCTTGTTTCTTCTTGCAATTTCTCAATTTCATTTTCTAATGGCTTCACTGTTTCTAATATATTTAAAAAAGTAATAACAGATTCAACCCATTTAGCTAATGGACCAGCTGCTCTAGATGCTTTGTTTATTCTTTCAACATCCCAATCGCTATTATTTATTCTTTTTTTTATTTGTGCA